CGTTCCAGTTGGTACTGCCGAAAGAGTGGAAGCAGTTTTATTAGATAAATTAGATCATTCGCTTTTCGATGTGGTATCCAATCCTGAGTTTCTCCGTGAAGGAGTAGCAGTAGAAGACTTCATGAAACCAGACAGGGTAGTAGTAGGTACTTCATCTGATAAGGCAAAAAAAGTGATGACAGCACTTTACGAACCATTTGTACGTCAAGGCAATCCCATTATTTTTATGGATGAGCGCAGTGCAGAGATGACCAAATATGCCGCTAATTCTTATTTAGCAACTAGGATCAGCTTTATGAATGAAATAGCCAACCTTTGTGAGCGTCTCGGTGCTGATGTCGATATGGTACGAAAAGGTATGGGATCAGATAGCCGTATTGGCAAAAGATTTTTGTTTCCTGGTGTAGGTTACGGTGGATCTTGTTTCCCGAAAGATGTGCAAGCACTCGCCAAATCAGCCCAAGAAAATGAATATGATTTCAAGATTCTGAAAGCTGTAATGCATGTCAATGATTTACAAAAGGAAATCCTTTCTTCCAAGATATCGCAATATTTTAACGACGACTTATCTGGTAAAACGATAGGCGTTTGGGGATTGGCTTTCAAACCAAATACTGACGACATCCGCGAAGCACCTGCATTAACCATCATAGCTAGATTGCTCCATAAAGGTGCCAAAGTAAAAGCTTACGATCCAGAAGCCATGGAAAACGTGAAACAAATATTCGGTGATAAAATCGAATTTTCAGCTAATGAATATGATGCCATTCAAGGCGTAGATGCATTGGCAATCGTCACAGAGTGGAATGAATTCCGTACACCAGATTTTGACAAGATGAAACAAATCATGAATGCACCAGTCATCTTTGACGGAAGGAATATTTATGATGTGCAAGTGACTAGAGATTTAGGTTTTTATTATGACAGTATAGGAAGGTGAGGGTTAGTGTTTAAAGTTTAATGTTTAAGGTGTAATGTTTAATTCTTAACGATTAAGATAGATAAGGTTGTAATAGTCTTTTATGGCATTCTTCCTCCATTTTTCAATTACTTTCTAACTTGAAATATTCTCAATTGGGTACTTTTTTATTGGCTTTGCAATCTTCGATTGCAATATCAGTTAACCATTTTACTCAGGCAAGATGCCTGAAGATACTGTATCGTAGCTAGGAAGCTACGACAAACGGAGAGACCCTTAATGCGTAGCTACACCTTGAATAGCAGTTCCACAAACATGTGCAGCTTTAGCGGTATCAACAAATAACTAAATCTGCGGATAAGAAACATTTCATATGAATAGAATCTTTCATTGCCTTAAAATGAAGTCTAGTTTATTTACGATATTATTAAGTTGTATATTTTCATTTGCTTTAAGAAGTCAATGTTTTGTTGGAAAATATCTAGACATACAGTATGATAGGTACAAAGCCAAAGATTCCATTTTGGTCTATAAAATGTCAGATGCAATTGAATATAATGAATGGTTGATGCTATTGTCATTTAACAAAGAAATTAAATTTATTTATAAAAGGAGACCAAATACCAATGCATTTTGTGATGTTGGAGATTATTCTTTGGAATATGGGGCTTGGGTTCTAGATAATAATATTTTAACCTTAGAACAAAAAAGCGTATCAAGCCATGACAGTAAAAATTGGACTAAAATTTCATACAAAATATTGAGTTGTGAAAATAATGTCTTAGAAATGAAGGAGGTCAAAGTACACTTTAGAAGAAAAATTAAATATCATGAAGAATGGGATGATTTCAAATATTCAGAATTTTGACAATTATTTAAACATTAAAAATTGCGAAGCTACACCTTAACAAGCAGTTTCGCAAATCCACAAATCCACAAATCCACAAATAAGTAAATCCACAAATCCACAAATCCAAATAAAATATGAACATACTAATCACAGGCGGTGCCGGCTTCATCGGCTCTCACGTAGTCAGAAGACTAGTTACACAGTACCCATCTTATCGCATTGTAAATCTTGATGCCTTGACGTATGCTGGAAATCTTGAAAATATAAAAGATATAGACCAAAGTCCCAATTATACTTTTGTAAAAGGTGACATAGGTGACGAGGCTTTTGTTAGTGAAGTATTTACCAAGTATGGTATAACTCATGTTGTACATCTTGCGGCAGAATCCCATGTGGATAGATCTATCAAAGATCCTCTTGTATTTATCAAAACCAATGTATTGGGTACGGCAAATCTACTACAAGTAGCCAAAAATCATTGGCATGGAAATTATGAAGGTAAGTTGTTTTACCATGTATCTACAGATGAAGTATATGGATCGCTCAATATGGGTTTTGACTTATTCACAGAAAAAACACCTTATGATCCAAGGTCGCCATATTCAGCATCTAAGGCAAGTTCAGATCATTTTGTCAGAGCATTTTACCATACTTACCACATGCCTGTGGTGATTTCTAATTGCAGCAACAACTATGGTCCAAACCATTTTCCAGAGAAGTTGATTCCCCTATTTATAAACAACATCATTCAGAAGAAACCACTTCCCGTCTATGGCAAAGGTGAGAATGTGAGAGATTGGTTATATGTAGAAGATCACGCAAGAGCAATAGATACCATCTTGCATAAAGGCAAACATGGTGAGACCTATAATATTGGTGGACATAATGAATGGACCAATATTGATTTGATCAAGTTGCTTTGTGATACTATGGATAAAAAACTTGGCAGAAGCGTAGGGGAGAGCCGCAATCTTATATCGTATGTAACTGATCGAGCAGGTCATGATCTTAGATATGCTATAGATGCATCCAAAATAGAAGTTGAACTCGATTGGGTACCTGTAGAAACTTTTGAATCTGGAATCGATAAAACCATAGATTGGTACCTGAATAATCAAGAGTGGCTAGAGCATGTCACAACTGGTGCGTATCAAGAATATTATCAGAAGATGTATCAGGAGTGATGGTAGGTTTAAAGTTTAATGTGTAAAGGTTAAAGATACTTTCTTTTAGCTTTAATTTTATTCTAAACTTAATCCTTTTCGGAGAAATGTAGCTGACCGATTTCAAAAGAAGATCTGATCAGGTAGTCACTTATTGATATTGTAATCTGTGATTGCAATTTTAAAAAGAAATTCAACCTTTAACAAAAAGTTTCATTCCAATCTAAGCAATTCAACAATCACATTCAGCTTTAGCGGCATCAAACAATTCAACAATAATTAATACATGGAACAAAATAACATACCACCATACCAAGACGATGAGATCACACTCAAAGAACTCATAGAAAAACTCCTTGAGTTTTGGAGAGAGCTTTGGTCCAAAAAATGGTGGATCATCTTGATTACCATTCCATTTTTGGTTTATTTCGGATACAAAGCCAAGACTAGCGTGATCACTTACACTGCTGTTTTGACCTACACTTTGAGTGATGGTGGCGGAGGTGGTGGTGGACTTTCAGGAATCCTAGGTTCCTTTGGGTTAGGTAAAGGCGGCAAGGTGAATTTAGATAGGATTGTAGAGTTGTCTAAATCTCGCAATATCATTCAGAAAGTATTATTTACAAAAGTAGTCATAGATTCTTTAGGAGATACACCTGATTATATTGCCAATCACCTTTTGACCTTGTATGAATTAGACAAAGAATGGACTAATGAGAATAAAGATTNGTCAATGTCTGAAAAACGTTAATTTGTCTGTTTCAGTCATCGGCAAGATGCCTAATAATATTGCATCGTAGCTAGGAAGCTACGACGAACCAAGAGGTCACTAAATCACGGATCACAAGATCACCCATCACCAAATCACAAAATATCATGTCTTACTTCGCACACGAATCCTCCTACATCGATGAAGGATGCACCATAGGTGAAGGCACAAAAATATGGCATTTCAGTCACATCATGCCGAACTGTACATTAGGCAAAAACTGTAATATTGGCCAAAATGTAGTAATATCACCTGAAGTTGTAATAGGCGATAATGTCAAAGTGCAAAATAATGTGTCTATTTATACAGGTGTGACTTGTGATGATGATGTGTTTTTGGGTCCATCATGTGTTTTTACCAATGTGATCAATCCACGCAGTGCTGTCAATCGTAAAAATGAATACTTAAAAACCCACGTTGGCAAGGGTGCATCTATTGGTGCTAATGCGACTATTGTTTGTGGCCATGACATCGGCAAATTTGCATTCATAGGTGCAGGTGCAGTAGTCACCAAACATGTACCAGATTATGCTTTAGTCGTAGGTAATCCTGCAAGACAAATGGGTTGGATGAGTGAGTTTGGTCAAAAACTGACATTTGATGATAATAGCATGGCTATTTGTGAAGAGAGTGGTGAGATATATCAACTGCTTGATGGAAAAGTTGAAAAAATAGTAAAGTAGAAAATTTTACATCAAGTTTCATATTGAAATCACAAAGAGTACTTAGAAATAAAATTATCTTAGTGTTTCTTAGTTGTAAAATAAATTAAAAAGTATAATGAAACAATTTGCCTTAATTGGAGCAGCAGGATACATCGCACCTCGCCATATGCAAGCCATCCGTGATACCGGTAATGACTTAGTAGCAACTGTTGACACCAATGACTCTGTAGGCATTATTGATAGTTATTTTCCAAATGCTGCTTTTTTTACAGAATTTGAGCGTTTTGACCGTCATCTTGAGAAGATTAAACGAGCCAAAGCACCTATAGATTTTGTCAGTATCTGTAGTCCCAATTATCTACATGATGCTCATATCCGGTTTGGACTCAGATATGGTGCTGATGTCATTTGCGAAAAACCCATCGTGCTCAACCCTTGGAATATCGAAGCGCTCGAAGAAATGGAGCAAGAAACAGGACGTCACGTCTTTAATATCCTCCAACTTCGATTACATCCGACAATTATTGCTTTAAAAGAAAAAGTAGCACAGTCGCCAGTCGACAAAATATTTGATATTGACTTGACGTACATCACTTCACGTGGCACATGGTATTATACATCTTGGAAAGGCAACCCTGAAAAATCAGGCGGCATTGCCACCAATATAGGTGTCCACTTTTATGATATGCTACAATGGGTTTTTGGTCCTATTAAAGAAAATATTGTACATATCCATACCCATGATCGTGCAGCAGGATATTTCGAGTTTGCTAAAGCCAAAGTCAGATGGTTCCTAAGTATTAACGCAGATACACTTCCCCCTGATGTCAAGGTACAAGGCAAGCGTACGTACCGCTCCATCAATATCGAAGGCGAAGAATTAGAATTTTCAGACGGTTTTACGGATTTGCATACATTAAGCTATCAAGATATTTTAAATGGTGGCGGATTCCGTATCGGAGAAGCACGTGCAGCTATCGACATCGTCCACCAAATAAGGACATGCACTCCTATTGGTTTGCAAGGAGATTATCATTCTTTTTGTAAACTACCTTTGGCTCCACATCCATTTAAATAGGAAGCGGTGTTTAATGTTTAATTGTTTAATGTTTAAAAAGTTATTAATATGAATATTTACGGTTTTGAAAAACTTGATGTCTGGTAGAAGTCAAGATTGTTAGTTAAAGATGTTTATTTGACTACCAAATTATTTCCCGAAGATGAAAGATTTGGCCGTATAAGTCAAGTTAGAAGAGCAATGATTTCAGTTTCTTGTAATATAGCAGAAGGTACTTCTAGATGGTCTGATAAAGAAAAGATTAGATTTATAGAAATTGCCTATGGTAGTTTAATGGAAGTTGTCAATTGCCTAATATTGGCATTTGATTTAGAATATATATCTGAAGAAAAGCTTTTACAACTACGTTTAAACATTGATCTAGTAGCAAATAAATTAAACGGTTTGAAAAGATCATTAGATAAAAATAAACCATAAACGTTCCACTTTAAACATTCGACCTTAAACCTTAAACAAATCAAATCATGAAAGGTATCATCCTCGCCGGCGGTTCCGGCACCAGACTTTATCCCATCACGAAGGCGATCAGCAAACAATTGATGCCTATTTATGACAAGCCAATGATCTATTATCCACTATCTATCCTGATGTTATCGGGGATCAGAGAGATATTGATCATCACTACGCCAGAAGATCAGGCAGGATTTATCAGGTTATTAGGTGATGGGTCGGACTTGGGTTGTCGATTTGAGTATGCGGTGCAGGCCGTACCTAATGGACTGGCGCAAGCATTTGTCATCGGAGCCGATTTTATAGGTAATGATACATCTTGTTTAGTCTTGGGTGATAATATCTTTTATGGATCAGGATTGTCCAAACTATTGCAACAAAGTGCTGCTATTACATCAGGTGCAAGGGTATTTGCCTATCCGGTCAATGATCCTGAACGATATGGTGTGGTCGAATTTGACAAAGAACAGAAAGCCTTATCCATAGAAGAGAAGCCTGTCCAACCAAAATCAGATTATGCTGTACCAGGACTATATTATTATGACCGACAGGTAGTAGACATTGCCAAAAACATCCAACCATCTGCCCGTGGGGAATATGAAATCACTACGGTCAATCAGCACTATTTAGAACATGGACAGTTGTCTGTGGGTATCATGGATAGAGGTACAGCGTGGCTAGATACAGGTACATTTGACTCATTGCACGATGCATCTGAGTTTGTGCGCGTGATCGAGAAGCGTCAAGGATACAAGATAGGATGTATAGAAGAGGTAGCTTGGCGTATGGGCTTCATAGATAAAGAACAACTATCAAGGCTTGCAGCCCCATTGATCAAGAGTGGATATGGAGAGTATTTGATGAAGGTGATGAAGTAGGTGTTGAATGGTTTAATGTTTAAGGTTTAATGTTTAAGGTATAACGTTTAAGGTATAACGTTTAAGGTGGTATTGGTAACAACATAGCAAATTTACTAAATCTAAATCTAAATCTCAATCTCAACCTTAATCTCAACCTTAACCTTAGTCTCAACCTTTATCTTAAAATGTGAGATCAAACATTTAAATTCGTCAAGTTTTCATTTAGTGACGAAAAAATTAAAATATCAAGACCAAAAACGAGTAACTTTGCTACTCAATTTATGTCTAAAACATAGCTTTAAGACAAACCACCAGATCAAGTACCTTGCGACTTATCAGCGGCGAAGCCATGTAATGTTGTTTAAGGTGAAAGGTGTAATGTTGTTTAAGGTGTAACTGTTTAACGTTTAAGGTATAATGTTTAAGGTAATGAAACTTGAGCATTAAAAAGTCACACCTGAATAAGCAAATAATGATTTAGTATCAACAAGCATCCTTGCCTGTGTAAAAATATATTGAAAACGACAATCGAATCAGCAGTTTAGTAAACGTGTGCAGCTTTAGCGGCATTAGCAAATCTAGCAAATCTCAATAAAAAATCAATGCAAAATATATTAGTCACAGGTGGTGCCGGATTCATTGGCTCAAATTTAGTAGAAGCGCTTTTAAATGATAGTAGAGTTGGTCTAGTAAGGGTTTTGGACAATCTTGCCACAGGCTTTAAACACAACTTAGCATCTTTTAAAGACCACCCAAAATTTGAGTTTTTTGAAGGAGATATAAGAGATTTTGATACTTGTCTGAAAGCTACCGAAAGTATTCACCTCATAAGTCATCAAGCAGCTTTAGGTTCGGTGCCTAGGAGCATTAAAGATCCTATCACTACCAATGCGGTCAACATCGATGGCACACTAAATATATTTAATGCAGCCGTAGAAAACAAAGTCAAAAGAGTCGTTTTTGCAGCATCATCATCTACTTATGGGGATAGTCAAGGGCTTCCTAAAGTAGAACATATCATCGGGAAACCACTATCTCCTTATGCAGTAACCAAATACGTAAACGAACTTTATGCAGATGTTTTTGCCAAGACTTACGATTTTGAATATATAGGATTAAGATACTTTAATGTGTATGGACCAAAGCAAGACCCGAATGGTGCTTACGCAGCCGTCATACCACTTTTTTTTAAAGCT